CCATGGCGCAGGCCATGGCCCTTTCCATGGTCGGCTACTGAGTGGTGCCGCCGGTGGCCCCACCGTCCCCTCCCCGCCGCCTTGCCAAAGCCGAACCGCAGCCGTAGTTGGAGCCCATCGAGCGCTACTCCTGGACGGGAGTAGTGCGCGAGTGGGTCAGGGCGCCGCCGGTCCGGATGCAGGCCACGCGGAGCAAGAGGCGGCGTACCTCGAGCACTGACGGCAGGTCAAGGTGGCCGAGGAGCGCCGCGAGGGCGAGTACCTCGAGATGCTCAAGCGCGACGCCGAGGCCGAGCGGCTCGAGGCTGAGGAGTAGGCGCGCCAGGCCGTGGCGGCTCAGGCGGCGGCACTGCCAGCGCCGACACAACCCGCGCCTGACATGGCCGCGCTCTGGAACACGGCGTTCAGCTGGGCCGGTCCGGCGCCGACGCTCATTGACCTCACAGACCCCGAGAACGACGACGACGACGACGCCTAGGACAGCGCGCCGGTGCCTAGTTTTTAGTTTTCTTTTATTTGTCTTAAATGCTAATGTGGACGCGTGGACTCCCGCTGGCCTTCGTGGCCGGCTTTAATGTTTAATTAATTTAGTTTTTATGTTAAGTATGCATGCATTCAGTTTTTTTTAGCCATCGAAATGGGTCGCGCGAGCGTTGGGCGCACGCGCCGACCCAAACGCGAAAGTGGATGCTCGTGTCCGCCTAGCCAATCCAAACGGACAAAAAGCGGATGAAATCGCCGTCCGTTTCGGTCGGCCCGTTGGAGTTGCTCTAAGGAGGCTTAGAAAAAACGGCTCAAGTCATGGGTTGGATGCTTCGAGGCCCGCACATCACAACGGCCCAACTCATGGGCTGGATTGGTTCCAGGCCCGCCCATCAGTGACGCCACCTAACGACCCATCCATCCCTCAAAAAGAAATTCCTCAAAGAAAAAAAACTCTCCAGATCTAATGGCATTCTTTCCCTCCAAAGCAAAAGAAAATCCAACGGCCTTCCCTCCATCTCACCCCACGCACGCGAAGGGCGGGAGGGGCGATTCGGTAATTTCGCCGCAGAAAATATCATCGCACGCACACGCACGCACTGGAGACAGGAGGTGGTCGGCTCGTCGTGCGTGCGTGTCAGGCCATGGGTGGCCGGGCCGGCGACGAGATCTGGTCCACGGGGCGTGAGATCCAAGGCAACGAGTACAGCTGCTGCATGTGCCTGGGGAACCGATCCAACAAACGAAAAAGAACAAGGCAAGGCTGCCGTCTCCCGCAACGCCGCAAACCGCGCAGTGCTCCTCCATCATCCTGTCGGTTGCTCGCTCGCCCCCTCCCTCCAACATGCGGCGCAGCACACGCGTACACACACAAAACCACGTCACATGATTGTTAGCTGTTGTTGTAGAGCACTTCCTTGCCACTTTGAAATTAAAAAAAGAACAATATGTTCATCAACACCATGTCAGTATAAAGAACACCAGAAATAGTAAAAATTGCATCCGTGTCCATAATCATCAAGCGACGGCTACAAGCACGAGTGAGCTAAAGACGCGCATTGTCATTGCCCCTCCCTTGCCGGAACCAGTAAAGACTCGATGTAGTAGACAGCCGAAAAGTCGTCGTGTTAAGTTCTCAAAGGACCGGCACACCAGAACTGTAATCGCCGCCATAAAAAAAAGCGTAGATAGGAATTATACAATGTGTAGATAGATGAACACACATGAACGGAGACCTAATCCACGCAGATCCATCAAAGACACACATCAACCGAATCATATATATGAGATCCATCAAAGACACGTCTTCATACGCCCTTCGACGACATGAAAGGCATCATCGGGACGGGCCTGGTGAGAAGGACCTTATCCTATCTGTAGGGAGTCACTGCCGTCTTGCCTTCCTAAACATGCCATAAACTCTAGACAGACTAGAAGAACATCTAGAAATGAAGCATGAGCCTTCCCGACGCCAAGGATTAGGATCCACTACGCCTCCATGGCCCCAAGGCGATAAGAGACGAGGCAGATCAAATGTAGTGCCCACGAGAGGCGAGGAAACCTAGACGCCTGGGATGTGAGTCTTTCTTTCTTTCTTTCTCAGGAAGAAAGAAAACAAGCCACCCGGACATTCCTTCGGTTTTGACTGAGTTTGCTTCTTCGCCATTGTGTACTTGTATAGAGCCACATGAGTACAATTTTTTTCTATGGGTAGTGTTTTGTTGGAACCATTTTTACCTACAAATAGTTATAAATACACATATAGCCAACTTGTGGGGAATGATTTTATAACACAGAGAAACCACGCGGCAACCGCCGCCAACTCTTGGAGAAGAAAAGAAACTTGGGTTTTCTCCTGCGGGCGCCGCTGCTGGTCCGTATCGTCTCTGGTGACCCAAGGGCCCAGGCACTGCTTGGGCCATGGAGCCGCGGTGGACCGCGAGTCTTGCTGGCATGAGGGATCTTACTCTGTTTTAGGTGTCTTTGTGAGTTTATTTAGGGTCTGTGTCCTGCTCAGGGAGATAAGGTGGTGGCGGCTCTCTGAAAGTGGAATAAGGTTCTGCCTACGCTAGTCTATGTTCCGGTGATGTGTCTAGCATCGTCGGAAGGTGTGTGGAGGTGTGTCTCCAGCGATCTCGTAGGATTCGGCCCGTGCCAGTCTTGAGTGGATCTGCTTGGATACAATGTTTGTTTGTCTTCGCTCGTGCGCCTACAAGTTGGATTCTTTTTGACATATACTTCTTTTCATCGACGATGGTTTTTATTCTGGTGCATTTGTCTTGTGTGGTCTTAACAAGGCGACTTTCCGACTGTCTACTATAAAAAGTTTAGCCCGACTCCAACGAGTAAGGGGTGATGATGTTGATGCGCCTTTAGCTTGCTTCAATGCTTGTGGTAGACGATAAATGATGTACAAACATGAATGCTTTTTTTGTTATTTATGTGTTTTTTGTACTGGCATGAGAACGATGAATATGTTGGAAATATTAGCACTTTTTCGACTAATCTAATCCACGAGTAAACAGTAAGGATGGCAAATACGGTATGCATCTCATACCGATACCTAAGCATGTGAGCACGTACAATACGTAGAACCGAAACATCTATGAACAGCATATGTACGGCCATCACATGAACGAGCAAATAGGGGATGAACGAGTCATACCCTCCGATTGGCCATGCCAATGCGGCGGCGGCGGCAGCAGCCTCGGCATCGGCCGAGGCCTTCGTCTTGGCGGCTTCGTCGTCAGCCATGGAGTCGATGTAGGCGAAGTAGTGGAAGCGGAGGCGGACAGAGACGAGGACTTATCGGGAGCAGTCGCGTCGAGACGCTCCCCAAAAATCTTATTGCCGTTCTCCCGGGAAAGATCTCGAACGACAGGGTTTCGGAGGCACCTGCTCTCCCGACCAACCATGCACGCGGTCGTCGGGATGGATCGCTGGAAGCAACAGAGAGAGAGAGAGAGAGAGAGAGAGAGAGAGAGAGAGAGAGAGAGAGAGAGAGAGAGAAACGGTAAATGACAACTAGGGTTGTGCGAGAGGGAGTGAGCAAACTGAGTTATGGTTCACTCCCGCACCCCGTGGCGCGCGCGCCATGACGAGGCGGGCGGCGGATTAGGAGTTGCGCGTGTACAACTCTTATTCCTAAGTTTACAATAGCAAATGGTGGAGCAACCCTTATAAAGATGTCTCACTCTTTTTACTGTAACTAAACTTACCACATTTTTCATCACTTGCCGTACACATAGATGGTCCTTAAAGACTAACCAGGGATTATTGTCTTGAGACCCGAAACTGTACTGGAACTAATAAGTACTTCCTCCGTCTCATAATGTAAGTACGTTTCTGAAACTACTACACTAGTAACAAAAACGTTCTTATATTTTAGGACAGGGAGTAGATTACTTTTCCTGTTACTAGTGTAGTAGTTTCAGAAACAAAAGAAGCGATCCAGCAAGAAAATCCATCGTTTACTATATAGACACAATAACACGCAGGGTCAATTAGCACCATATCATCACAGACATATTTCGTGATGTTAACACACACACAAATCAAACAGGAGAGGTCGTAGGCCCGTGATAAGGATCTCTTTCGAAGGAAAAGAAAAAATCGGGTTCCGGTTTGATTCCCACGGGGAACAATCTGGAGACACGGCACAAGTTGCGTTGGCGCGGCGCACCTCATGTGCGCGCGGGACGGCTTCCGGCTCCCACCTCCACTGGCGCTGGACACCGATCGTGAAGCAACCGCGCCAGCGTCGCCACCACTACTGGCCTACCGCCAACGTTTCGCGCCTAGGGTGCGCAATAAATAAATTTATTATGCGAGTGGTCCACTCGTCAGAAGAAAAATAATAGCGCCCCGTACTAATAGCAAGGCTGGTCATAGTGGGAGTAACATAGGTAGTAACATAGATGCCACATAAGCAAAAATGTTGATGTGGCAAGTAATTAATGAGGAGAGAGGCAAATAGAGTAACTTAATATGTTACCATCACATAGCGCTTTCCAATATAAAATGAGTCTACAAGACAATAAATAAACATGTGTATGTTACTACACATATGACACTTCCCACTATAAGGGTAGTAACATAGAGTAGTAATGTATGCATGTTACTACTCTAAGTTACTCTCCACTATGACCAGCCTAATCCCGGCAAAAGAAAATGGGGCCAGAGAAAAATAATGCGGTGGGGGCGAGAGACGTGGTCCACCTGCCCAGCCGGGCGCCAACTCAGGGGCCGAGGGGCGGGAGCGGTTGGTATATCAGTGGTGGCCGAGGCGGTCAGCACCGCATTGCCGCGCCTCCTTCCTCCTCCTACTTCACACGCACGGAAGGCAGAGAGAGGCGACCCAACCGCCCCCTCCGCTGCTTCAGTTCGTCCGCTCCATCCCGTGTCTATTCCGAGTGGACGCCAGCACGCACAGGCGCATATATAGGTAGCTTTATTTAGCTACGGCTGAAGAGAGCCTGATTTACAAGATAGGAGGAGCAGATCTTTGAGGAGGGAGCATGCCGACGGGGACCATGAGGAGGATGTTCGTCGAGTCGTCCTCGTCCGAGTCGTCCGGGAGCGGCAGGGAGGCGGAGCCGGCGGTGGTGCTGTGCGCGCCTCGCCCGCGCAGGGTGCACGCCCAGCCCTGCAGCGCCGACCTCATCCTCGGCCCCCCACCCTTCCTCCTCAACGCCTCCTCCGGCAGCAACAGCAGAAAGGTACCGGCCGTCCTCCAAACCTCAGCCAGTTCTTGGAAGAAATTTTCCACGTTCTTTTGTTTTTTGGTCTTGATTTTCTTTTGTATGGATCTTTGTCTTACAAGAATCTGTTCTTTCTTACTGCAGCAGAGGGAAGGGAAGAGCAAAACGCGGGAGGTCGACGACGAGTCGGAGGAGGAGGGGGAGGGGGGCTGGGCGCTGTTCGGCGGCTCGCCGCCGGCGCGCGCGGACAACCCGCTCGTCCACGACCCCCACTTCCTGCTCAACCAGCGAAACCACGCCGCCGCCGACTTCAACCTCGCGGCGGTTTTTGACCACCACCTCCACCACCACAGCCGCGCCCACCACCACCACCACAGCCGCGCCCACCACCACCACATCCCCACCACATATAGCAATAGCAATAGCCACAGTTTTGCCCCGTCGTACACGCACGCCGCGCCGGCGGTGAGGATCCAGGGGTTCGACGTCGCCGCCTGCCGGGGCTCCCACGGCACCAACGGCGGAGGCCGCGTGCTCTCCGCCCGCGCCTGAAGCCTGGGCCTCAGCCTGAGCCGAGCAGAGCCGACCCGCAAGGGAGAAGCCACCCACCGCCGTCGTCCTCACCAACCTTGTACAGTTTTCCGCCGGCCGCCGCGTATGTACGTACGTACTACGTCTAGTGTACTGGTAGTATCACCATATGCTACGTGTGTTCCTTGTGGTATATACATACATACGGGTTTACGTGATGAATTAACATGAGATGGGTAGCGAGGGTCGTCTAAAGACTAAGTAAGTTTAATTAAGAGTAGTAGAAGAAGAATGATCATCAGCAGCAGCATACACAAAGAGGATCGATCAAAGGAGAGGATTTCTATTTTTACTTCTTTTTCCCCAGTTAGTTTTGTCAGGAAGTGTTCTGTAGATATCATGAGTGTTAATCTTTTCTAAGAAGGGTCGCTCTTTTCTTCCCCGGATGAAGACGAAAGATGGCCTGTGCAGTTGTGCTGGGCCATCGTCGTGTTCATCGCACCGCCATGTAACCATGGTTGTATTTGTAAAAAAGAGAATGGAAGGAAGGAAGGAAGAAGAAAGTGTGTACATACATAAACATGTTCGTTATGGAGCTGTACCATGTAATGGAATTGCATCAAGTTGATTCAAACAGTCTCTCATCTGCGTTTGCCCCCTTGTTTCAGAAACTCTTTCCTGTTGCCTTCGGTGTGTGTGTGTGTGTGTGTGTTGGGCAGTTGAGATCAAGGGAGGGAATCCGTTTGGTCTCATTGTTGTAACAAATTTTTTTGGCGAAGGGTTCGAGCAAATAGGCTGCAATCAGGCCGGGGAGGGCGGTGGTTGCGAGAGAGCAGTACGTGGTACAGTGAGATGAGATCGGATCAAATCCCATGATGATTCCATCTTGTCCTTCTCCTGGTCCCGGACGGCCAGGGTGAGCTGTTAGTTGGTTCGGCCCCGATTTTCCCCGGGCAGGCACGCAGATGCACATGCACTTGCACATGCGAGATGCGACTTTTCGACGCGACCTGCCGCTGCCCCGTTGCTTCCCCGGACGGCAAAGGCCGAGCAAGTAGACAGGCCGCGTCATTGACCGCCTCCCTCCCACTGGCCTCTCAAGTGGCCAAGCAAAAGAGACGGGTATCGTGGCGTGGCGGCCTCTTTTCTGGCGTCGTTCCCATCCGTCGTTCTACCATCGTCCATCCGTTGGTTCCACGGGCGCGGACCGCGACCCGTTCTGCGTGCGAGCGACGCGCACGCAACCACGTAGCCGCCTTGGTCCCCTTGGCCTCTGCCGTCCGCGTCGTCCGTCACACGCACAGCCCTTTTTTCCCCGCCCCCTCCCGAATAATTCACTCCCAGTCCCAGCCTGGGGCCCTCCTCCCACCTCACGTTGCAAAAATCGGAACCGGCTGCTCCGCCTACGTGCGCGCGTACGACCGGACCGGCGCGCGGCCGTCGCCGTCGCCGTATCGCGCTCGCATTCGCCGACTGTTCGTGTGATCCGAGGGGTGCGGCCGCGAAGTTTCCCAGAAACTTAACAGACTCCCGTGTCGAGGCACGCAAAGGCAAAGGCAAAGGCCCGGGGCGACGTCGACACTTTATATTAGACTCGAACAGCTGATTGACAGCCGAGTCGTCTCGTAGTCTCGTAGTGGAAGCGGGACACCACCACCGGAAGACGGAAGCCTTGTTGTGCACTGTCACTTGCGGTGGTGGTTTTGGCGTGCCGTCAAGGGGCGCCTGCTCGTTTGTTCCGCTCTGCTTGGATGGAGCCTTGGGGTCGGTTTTGTTGTTTCCGGGGCCGTTTGGTTCCTTGTGAACTCTCGCTGCTTCGTGTGTTTGTGGTAGTAGTGATGGAGCACACTCAGACGCTGACGGATGGAGCTCGTTTGTGGCGTCTCCGGGGTTCCCGCCCGTCTTCGACAACCGGAGCTCACTCGGGTCACTCGTTTGCTTACCTCTATAAGCGTGTGTTTGGCAGCAAGATACTTTTTTCGTAGGAGTCACGAGGTAATCCGATGAGATTTCTACGCTCAGTAAAGACCCCGGAAATTTTGGTTAGGAGCGCTATAGATTCCGGGAGGAACGGGATTCCAATGCTATTTTGGAGAATGTCAGCTCGTTTGCGGGATGGGTGCTCCTCCGCCTCGATGATTTTGTGCCCAGAGGCCGGGGAGAACATTGGGTAGCAGTGGCCGACCTTTTCTTTTCTTTTGAGGACACACCATGAAGAGGTGTATCGACACCACACAAGAAGAACCAAGTGGTTGATACGGCGCCTCTCGGATCACATCGTCAACACAACTTACCTTGTTCAACCTAAAGTCATGAGTAGCGAGGATACATAGAGCTCAAGGACGGTGTCATGATCAATACATACCCCAAGCCTCACAAAAGAGACTTGATGAGCCCCCACCTTTAGCTTCCACTCTAGTAGAAGCACACTTGCTAACGAATGGAGTTCATTTGTGGTGCTTGCAGAGTTCTCGGGATGAACGGGATTCCAATATTCTTTTCTTTAGAGAAAGTCGGCCCATTTGTGGGATCGATACTCCTCGTCTCCGGTGATCTCATCTAAGAGCATCTATAGTCGGACTTAACAAATCTGGTTCTTATACATCCGCATTCGGACGAGCCCTTCATCTCTCGTATTCAGCCGCTGACGGATGGAGCTCATTTGTGGCGTCCGCGAAGTTCCCGTCCGTCCTGCACAACCGGAGCTCACTCGGGTGTCACGCTCATCTACCCATAAGCGTGGGTTTGGCAGCAAGGTATCTTGGGTTTTCCTTCCAGCAGTCACGAGGTAATCTGATGAGATTTCTGCACTCACTAAAGGATCCAGAAAATTTGGTTAGGAACGCTAGATCCCTGGACAAACGGGATTCCAATATTCTTTTAGAGAAAGTCAGCCCGTTTGTGGGATCGATACTCCTCGTCTCCGGTGATCTCATCTAAAAGCATCTATAGTTGGACTTGACAAATCTGGTTCTTATTCATCCGCATTCGGACGGGCCCTTCATATCTCGTATTCAGCCGCTGACAAATGGAGCTCATTTGTGGTGTCTGCGAAGTTCCCGTCCGTCCTGCACAACCGGAGCTCACTCGGGTGTCACACTCATCTACCCATAAGCGTGGGTTTGGCAGCAAGGTATCTTGGGTTTTCCTTCCAGCAGTCACAAGGTAATCTGATGAGATTTCTGCACTCACTAAAGGATCCAGAAAATTTGGTTAGGAACGCTAGATCCCTG